TTTGTTGTTTGTTGTTTGTTTTTTGTTGTTGTCGTCGTCCCACCCGCGACCCGCCCCGCGACCCACCCGCGACCCACCCCGCGACCCACCCGCCACCCACCAGCGACTCACCCTGCGACCCACCCCGCGACCCACCCCGCGACCCACCCGCGACCCACCCGCGACCCACCCGCGACCCACCCCGCGACCCGCTCCCTTCCAGGTGGAGGTGGAGAGCCCGCGACCCACCCGCGGAGGAGGAGGAGGAGGAAGAGGAGGAAGAATAGGAGGAGGTGGAGGAGGCGGACGACGACGACGACGACGATGAGGACGAGGACGCGGACGAGGAAGAGGAGGAGGAGGAGGAGCAGGAGGAGGAGGGGGAGAAGGAGGAGGAGGGCGCCATCGACAAGGAAGGTGAGCGCCACGAGGTCCGCCGGCTCGACGCCCGCGTCGCCCGCGCCCGCCCCCTCACTCTTACCCGCAATTGCGGGGTGCTACGACACTATGGCCCTCAATCTCACACTCACACTCGCTGTCCCTCTCTCTCTCTATCTCTGTCTCTCTCTCTCTCTCTCTCGCACCCCCGGGCGCGGCCACAGCGGGTCAGGGCCCGCCACGGACGCGCGCACGCTCTTTTCTCTCTCTCTCTCTCTCTCTCTCTCCCTTTCTCTCTCCCTTTCTCTCTCACACCGCCCCGGCCGTCATCCGTCATCTTCGTTTCGGATGTTTCTTGGGGTTCCTGGAAATACCTCTGGAGACCCTCGACAACACGGCTGGACGCAGCTCGAACAACTGGTCAGGATGGCCCTGGGATGTGAACGGTCTCTTTTTCGGCGTTTCGACATTGAGCGGAAGGGGGGGAGAGCGGGGGGGTCTGGCTCCAGACCTCTGCTGACTGCCACTGTTTGCAACAGTGCGTCCTGAGTGGGGGGCTCCACCTGCCAGAAGCAGGCACCCAAACAGCCAAGATCTACTCCATGGGGGGGGGTGCGAGGGCCCGCGCCGATCAGCAAAACCTTGCATAAGAAAACGACGACGTTCGAGCGGCGATGGTTAGTCGACTTCGCGTCGATAATCTTTCCCTCTCTCCCTCTCCCTCTTTCTCTCTCCCTCTCTCTCTCTCTGAACCTGTCCCCCTCTCTCCTTCTCGACGAGGATGAGAGACTGTCCTCCTCAACTAGGGTGGGGAGGCAGGAGGGTCGAGGGAGGGAAGAGGGGGAGGCCTGAAGAGGAGAGAAACGAGTGGCAGGAGCAGAGGCAAGGCGAGCGGACGAGGAGGAGAGAGGAGGGCGCCCGATCCCCGGCCCCCTCCTCTACTCCCTCCTCTTACTCCTCCTCCTGCTCCTCCTCCTCCTCCTGCTCTTCCTCCTGATCCTCCTCTCCCTCCTCCTCCTCCTCCTCCTCCTCCACTTCCCCATCCTCCTCTTTTTTCTTGTTGTTTTTGTTTTCCTCCTCCTCCTCCTCCCTCCTCTCCCCTCCTCCTCCTCCTCCTCCTCCTCCTCCTCCTCCTCCTCCTCCTCCTCCTCCGTCTCCTCTTCCTCCTGCTCTTCCTCCCCCTTTACAATTACAATCGGAGGTTGGGGGGTGAGATCGCAAGGGAACGAAGACCCCAAACCGGGAAATCGTTTCGTTTCGTTCGTGTCGTGCGTGCCGGCGAGGCGAAGCTACGTGGGAGCGCGAGAGGAATGAACCCGCCGTTGCTAGGGCGAAGTCAAGACACATGATTCTCCCCCGCCCGTCCAGCGGTGGCTCGCGGTGTCCCGCGGTGTCCCGTGGTGTCCCGTGGTGTCCCGTGGTGTCCGCCGTTGCTAGGGCGAAGTCGAGACAAATGATTCTCCCCCGCCCGTCAGGCGGTGGCTCGCGGTGTCCCGCGGTGTCCTGTGGTGTCCCGTGGTGTCCACCGTTGCTGGGGCGAAATCAAGAAAATGATTCTCCCCCGCCTGCCCGTCCGGCGGTGGCTCGCGGTGCCCCGCGGTGTCCCGTGGTGTCCCGTGGTGTCCCGTGGTGTCCGCCGTTGCTAGGGCGAAGTCAAGACAAATGATTCTCCCCCGCCCGTCCGGCCGTCCGTCCGTCCGGCGGTGGCTCGCGGTGTCCAGCGGTGTCCCGTGGTGTCCCGTGGCGTCCCAAAAGGTGAGATCGATAGTGAGATCGATAGTGAGATCGATGTGGTGCCCCGAGGTGTCCCGTGGTGTCCCGCGGTGTCCCAAAAAGTGAGATCGATAGTGAGATCGATAGTGAGATCGACAGCTGTCCCGTGGTGTCCCGCGGTGTCCCGTGGTGTCCCGTTGAGTGAGATCGATAGTGAGATCGATAGTGAGATCGATAGTGAGATCGATGTGGTGTCCCGAGGTGTCCCGTGGTGTCATATGGTGTCCCGTTGAGTGAGGTCGACAGTGAGATCGATAGTGAGACCGATAGGGAGATCGAGAGGTGTCCCGCGGTGTCCCGTGGTGTTCCGTGGTGGCCCGTGGTGTCCCGTGGAGTGAGATCGATAGTGTGATTGATTGTGAGATCGACA